ACAATCTTGGAAACTGGCACTTGTGGCAAAGTGTGACCTAATGTGTGCCACCATTAGAAGTGGGTGGATGCAGGGTGGTATATTCTAATGGTGGGCATACCACACACTTTTTCTGGCAGAGATTTCTTCTCATTTTTTCATTCAGTCCACTGGCTGCATACAAAAAAAAAAAAAAGAACATCGCATATATAACCAGCAAGGACCAGCAATGTACTGGTACATCACTGGATTTGAATGGTTATACCAGGATGATGCCTGCAGCTGCAAGGCATCATCCTGGTGTCGTTTTTTTCAGCCGGTGATCGGCTTTCATATAAAAGCAATCCTAGTAGCTAATTAGCTGCAAGATTGCTTTTACAAGCAGTGGGAGATGATGTCCCCCCCTCCCCCGCTGCCTTCCACGGCCTTCTCGGGCAGTCCCGTGCCATCAGGGGAACCTGAGAATGCAGCCGGTGTTTTGCCAGTTTTACCATAGAGCTGATTGGAGGCCAGAATGGTGCCAATCATCTCTATAGTCTAAGAATTCGGAAGCTACAAGCATTTCATCACTTCAGTTTCGCAGGATATAAACAGCGCCATTTGTAAATTGGGAAAGCATCTGATCACACCGATTTTGGTTTGATTAGATAATGTAAGGACAGAGGAGATATCTAGAGTCTGATAGACCCCAGATTTTTCAAAAAAGAATATATATAACAATGCCCATTGAAGTTATAGGGGTTATTTTCATTCCCTGTTTATAGCATTAAAAAGTGATTAAAAAAAAAAAAAATTAAAGGTACAATGTAAAAATAATAATAAAAAAAAAAATAACTAAAAAAAAAAAAAAAAATTGCCCCTCCCATGTGCGCACACCTGTGTGTGCACAAGCCTTGACCCTGTGCCGTTATGTAAACAGCGGTTTGCACCATGCATGTGAGGTATTGCCATGAACGTCAGATCAAAGGCAGTAATTCTAACACTAGACCTCCTCTGTAAATCTAAAATGTTGGCTTTTTAAAGCGCTGCCTATGGATATTAAAAATGTTTGCAGTTTGTCGCCATTGAACGGGGGCAGCATGCGCAGTTTTAAAGCATGTCATGTTTGGTATCTATTTACTTGGCATACCATTATCTTTTATATTTTACCAAACAATTGGCCAATATATTGTGTTTTTGTGCATTAAAAGTAAAATAAAAAAAGTGTATTTTTTAAAAAAAAAACTGCTTTTGAAAAATCGCTGCGCGAGTACTATGTGCCATAAAAAAATTGTAGTACCCACCATTTTACTCATTAGGGTGTCTGCTTTAAAAAAATATATAATGTTTGGGGGTTTAAATTAAGATAATTTTCTAGCAAATACTGATTTTTTTCATGTGAACAAAAAGGCTTGGTCTTCAGGTGGTTAGAAGTGTGAATGATGTGTGGCATAAACTTCTAATGCTGGGCATAAAAACGCCCCCACCCCCCAAAATGACCCCTTTTTGGAAAGTAGTCACCCCAAACTATTTGCTGAGAGGAATGTTGAATCAATAGAACAATTTATTTTTTTTACCACAAGTTTTTTGGAAAATGACAAAAATAAATTTATATTTTTTTTTTTTTTACACAAAATTGTCACTTAAATGATTTTCTGCTCACACATGCCATGGTTATATGTGAAATTACTCCCCAAAATACATTTTGCTACTTCTCCCGGGTATGGGGGTACCACATGTGAGAGACTTTTTGGCAGTCTTAGCCAAGTACAGGACCCCAAAATCCAATAAGCACCTTCAGGCTTTTAAAGGGCTTTATTTCCTCATTACACTTCCAGACTACCTATCACAGTTTCGGAGGCCATGAGAAATGCCAGGATAGCACCTAACCCCCCCCCCCCCCAAATTACCCCTTTTTGGAAAGTAGACGCCCCAAGAAATTTGATAAAAAGCACGGTAAGTATTTTTACTTTGTTGCCACAAGTTTTTGTTAAAATTAAGAAAAAAAACAAACATATTTTTTCTATTTTTTATATTATTTCAAAACCTTGTGAGAAAAAATGAGATCTGCAAAATACTCACCATGCCTCTTTTTAAATTCCTTGGGGTGTCTACTTTCCAGAAAGGGTCATTTGGGGGGGGGGGGCTATCCTGGCATGTCAGGGCCTTCAAAACTGTGATAGGTAGTGAGGAAGTGTAATGAGGAAGTTACGCACCTTCAGGCTTTCAAAGTGGTCATTGGATATCTTTTCAGGCTCCTGTATGTGGCTAGGCTCCCAAAAAGTCTCACACATGTTGGTATTTCCATACTCAGTAGAAGTAGCAGAATGTATTTTTGGGGTGTAATTCCACTATACCCATGGCTTGTGCGAGAAATAAATCATGTAAAATGACAACTTTGTGTAAAAAAAAAAAAAAAAAAAATTTTTTTCATTTTCTAGAAAACCTGTGGAAAAAAAATAAATCTTCCATGGACTCAATATGCCTCTCAGCAGATAGCTTAGGGTGTCTTAATTTCCGAAAAAGGGGTCATTTGAGGGTGTTTTGTACTATTCTGGTATTTTAGCACCTCAAGAAATGTGATGGGCAGTCAGAAAGTAAAAGTAAATTCCATTATCTTATACCATAGTTTGTAGACGCTATAACTTTCACAAAAAGCAATCAATATACACTTATTGGGATTTTTTTAACCAAAAACAATGTAGCAGAATACATTTTGGCCTAAATTTATGAAATTTAGATATTTTTTATAACCAAAATGAGAAAATATTGTTTTTTCAAAAAAAAATGTTTTTCTTCAAAATTTTTCTGGTTATAGCGCCAAAAATAAAAAGTGCACAGTTGATCAAATACCACCAAAAAGAATGCTCTATTTGTGTTAAAAAAAGGACATAAATTTCATTTTATGTACCATATTGAATGACTGCGCAATTGTCCGTTTTATTAATTAGCGCAGCGCTGTATAGCAAAAAAATGGCGTAAATTGCAGTTATCTATACCATAGTTTGTAGACGCTATAACTTTCACACAAAGCAAATCAATAAACACTTATTGGGATTTTTTTTACCAAGAACATGTAGCAGAATACATTTTGGCCTAAATTTTATAACTCTAACTTTGAGTTTACTATATATTTTTTATAGCTGAAAGTAAAAAAATATCGTTTTTTCTTCAAAATATTTGGTCTTTTTTTGTTTATAGCGTGAAAAATACTCTATTTGTGTGGAAAAAGGACATAAATTTTGTTTTAGGTGCAGCATTGCATGACCGCATAATTATCAGTTGAATTAGTGCAGCGCCGAGTAGCAAAAAGAGGCCTGGTCATTAAGGGGGGTAAATCCTCAGGAGCTCAAGTGGTTAAATATTAGAGTTAGTAATGGGAAATTTGTTACCAAAACATTTTTTAAAGCAGTTGACCGCAATGGCTACATACCATTAGGGAGTTGTCATTATCCACCATGGCTCTATAATATACCCAAGGGTCAGTTTATTAGAATTAGGAGGAATTGTACTATCAAAGATGACCATCTTGAACAAGCTAAACTTTTGGGTAATAGGTTTTTAAATAAAGGGTATCCACAGGATGAGATAGATAAACTGATAGAAGAAATAGGCAATGCAGATAGGATAGGATACTTGGAAGACAATAATAAGAGTGAGAATGAGGCCTATGGTGGACAGGTAGCCATTGTGTTAGATTATAATGTTCATTACAAGAAAATTGAAGGTATTTTAAAAAAACATTGGAACATTTTAAAATTAGATCCCATTTTTAAAGAATATTTTTATCAGAAAATCCGAGATTTATTTATAGGAAGGCACCCAATGTAAGAATAAGAGTAGTAAAAAGCATGATGGATCCCCCTATTAGGAATAATATAACATTTTTTAATGATAAAGGGTTTTATCCATGTAGGAATTGTTTTGCATGTATAGCTACAAAAAACAGAATGTGAAACGTAAGAAATTTGTTGCCAATACCACTGGGAGAGAATATGACATAAAGGATTTTATTTCATGTTGAACTGAAGGGGTGGTATATTGTCTGGAATGTGAGTGTGGTCTTCAGTATGTGGGAAGAACCAAAAGACCGCTATGGAAAGGATTAAGGGAACACGTACAAAATATCAGGAAAGGTTTCCCCAAACATAACGTGTCCAGACATTTTGCCATACACCATAATAAAGATCCATCGAAGATGTTATTTTGGGGTATAGAAAAATATAAAAAGACATTGGCGAGGGAGCAACAAGATTAGATCTTTAAGCAAAGCCGAGTCTAAATGGATTTACCATATGGGTACCCAAGTTCCCAAAGGATTGAAGATGGAGTTTGACTTAAACTGTTTCACTAGTGATTTTTGATTGACTTTTTATGTTGAGTTTTTATGGGTTTTATGTTTCACTTGGCTATAAATAATAAAAATTAATTAATTTATATCTATTTTATTTATGTTTTATATAGATTGTTTTATCAGAATTAATTATGCATATTTAATGTAAATGTGTGGGTATATTACATGAATGGGGCTATATATTTTTTATTTTTTGTATATTATATATTCCCTTGTAGGCATTTTTTATCCCCTTGATTAGATTAATTTTATGGGATCATCCTGGTATTAATGTGCTTTTACTATTTGGTAATTTTAGGTAATAATATGTATTGTTAATAGGTGATTTTATATTATTGTTTTTTGTTTTTTTTTGTTTTTAAGTAATGCCCATTTTTTGCATATATTTATTTATATTTTTTATTTATTTATAATTGGGATGCATGGATTTGGTATCAGGGTGAGGTTAAATAGGGAGTTTTAGGCATATAGCATTGGGATGCTGTACTGCACCTTTGTATATGACTTTTTTTGTACTGGTGTAATTAGGGTACAAGCGTGGTTATATGGCCGTGATTAGAGATGAGCGAAGTATTCAAAAATTCGATTCGGCTGATTCGGCGAATTCGAGGAATAAATTTGATTCGATGCGAATATATTCGCTGCGAATTTAACTTATAAAAGGGTGTTTCTAGGCTTCAGAGAGCCTTCATATTAGTGCAGAACACTGTACCTTTAATTTAAATGCCCTTGGAGTCTGCTGGGGAAGAGAAATAATACTGATGACATGCAGATGAGTGCCGTCGATCTTAGAATCACCGCACACTTCACTCATTTGGGCAGTCACGGGGCCAAAACCAGAGTGTGGAGCCACAGTGTGGCGGTGGAGGCAGCAGCAATGGGAGGCCATACAGCACCCTATGACAAAAATGGAACCCACCAGCAGTGTGAGGAGACCTGAAAGTGGCACATGGCAGAGTGTGGCGATGGAGACAGCAGCAATGGGAGGCCGTACAGGGACCCATGAGAGACTCTGGACCTGGCAGCAGCATGAGGAGGCGGTACGGGGGCCCATGGCAGATTACGGGCCTGGCAGCAGCAATGGGAGGCCCGTAATCTGCCAGCACCCTATGACAAAAAAATGAACACACCAGCAGTGTGAGGAGACCTGAAAGTGGCACATGTTTGGGGCATGATTCATGGCGGATTTAGTCAGTTGTGTCAGAATGGGTGGTTTGAAATCCAGACTAATCCACGCCTGATTCATTTTCACAAACGTGAGTCTCTCCACACTTTGGGTGGACAGTCGTGTCCTCCGCGGAGTTACAATACCTCCTGCTGCACTAAACACAGTGCTCCGATGCCACGCTAAAGTGGCCGGGCATGACAGCCTTTCAAGGGCAAATTCAGCTAGTTGGGGCCAAAGGTCAAGTTTCGTTGCCCAGTAGTCAAGGGGATTGTCTACCTCGGTTGGCAGGGTGCTGTCCAAGTAGGCCCAAGCCTGTTGTTTGAGGTCCTGCTCCAGGTCCACCTGATGCTGCTGCTGCTGCGGCTGGTTAGTAGTTTCCTCACTGCGCTGGTGAAGAAAGCTACTCATCATCGACTGCAGACTGAGGCAGCCGCTGCTGGTGGAGCTGCCACTGCTCCTACCACCCCACCCCTCCCCTGCTGCCATGGCAGCGGAACGCGAGCGCACAGGGCCCACAGTGTCGGAGTGGACGTTGGCGCAGAAAGGCAGAGACCAACTGACTACATAGGTGGTTTTTATAGTACGTTATTTTGGCCTCCCTCTCAGCAGGTGTGAAAAAGGCCACCATTTTTGAACGGTAGCGAGGAGGGTCCAACAAGGTGGACAGCCAAAAGTCATCCCTCTGTCTGATGGTTATTATTCGGCTGTCGCTACGCAAGCAACCGAGCATGCTATGGGCCATTTGTGCCAAGGAATGCGAGGGACTCCCTGCCTCCATCTCCACAGCATACTGCCACGGTGCGTCTGGGTCCTCTGTCTCCTCCTCCTCCTCCAGCTACCAGATGCTCCTGCTCCTCCACTCCTGTCCGCTGAGTGGAAAAACCCACCCATTTCACTCAATAATTCTGAGCACCAATGTCCTCCTCTACCTCCTCCTCTTCTTCCTGTCCTGCCCCCACAGGGGTCATGTGGCGTTGAGATCTGTGCGCCACGTCTACCGCACCCTGACCAGCCATTTTGTTAACAGCATTTGTTCCAGGACGTGCAACAGAGGAATGACGTCGTTCATCCCCCATAGTCCTGCCGACTCACGAATAGCGTGGCCTCCTCAAAGGGCCTGAGCAAGCGGCAGGTGTCACGCATGAGCTGCCAATGGCTGACATCTAAGTTACACAGGGGAGTACCTTTATCCGCTTGTAACATCAGGAATCTGATGGCCTTTCGCTGTTCGTAAAGGCGGTCTAACATATGTAGGGTTGAATTCCACCTTGTTGCAACGTCACAGCATGATGAGGAGTCGGTACGGGGGCCCATGGCAGATTACGGGCCTGGCAGCAGCAATGGGAGGCCCGTAATCTGCCAGCACCCTATGACAAAAAATGGAACACACCACCAGCAGTGTGAGGAGACCTGAAAGTGGCACATGGCAGAGTGTGGCGATGGAGACAGCAGCAATGGGAGGCCGTACAGGGACCCATGACACTCTGGACTGGCAGCAGCATGAAAGGAGCGCGCAGGGGCCCATGGCAGATTACGGGCCTGGCAGCAGCAATGGGAGGCCCGTAATCTGCCAGCACCCTATGACAAAAAATGGAACACACCAGCAGTGTGAGGAGACCTGAAAGTGGCACATGGCAGAGTGTGGCGATGGAGACAGCAGCAATGGGAGGCCGTACAGGGACCCATGAGACACTCTGGACCTGGCAGCAGCATGAGGAGGCGGTACAGGGGCCCATGGCAGATTACGGGCCTGGCAGCAGCAATGGGAGGCCCGTAATCTGCCAGCACCCTATGACAAAAAATGGAACACACCAGCAGTGTGAGGAGACCTGAAAGTGGCACATGGCAGAGTGTGGCGATGGAGACAGCAGCAATGGGAGGCCGTACAGGGACCCATGAGAGACTCTGGACCTGGCAGCAGCATGAGGAGGGCGGTACAGGGGCCCATGGCAGATTACGGGCCTGGCAGCAGCAATGGGAGGCCCGTAATCTGCCAGCACCCTATGACAAAAAATGGAACACACCAGCAGTGTGAGGAGACCTGAAAGTGGCACATGGCAGAGTGTGGGCGATGGAGACAGCAGCAATGGGAGGCCGTACAGGGACCCATGAGAGACTCTGGACCTGGCAGCAGCATGAGGAGGCGGTACAGGGGCCCATGGCAGATTACGGGCCTGGCAGCAGCAATGGGAGGCCCGTAATCTGCCAGCACCCTATGACAAAAAATGGAACACACCAGCAGTGAGGGAGACCTGAAAGTGGCACATGGCAGAGTGTGGCGATGGAGACAGCAGCAATGGGAGGCCGTACAGGGACCCATGAGACACTCTGGACCTGGCAGCAGCAGCATGAGGAGGCGGTACAGGGGCCCATGGCAGATTACGGGCCTGGCAGCAGCAATGGAGGCCCGTAATCTGCCAGCACCCTATGACAAAAAATGGAACACACCAGCAGTGTGAGGAGACCTGAAAGTGGCACATGGCAGAGTGTGGCGATGGAGACAGCAGCAGGGAGGCCGTACAGGGACCCATGAGAGACTCTGGACCTGGCAGCAGCATGAGGAGGCGGTACAGGGGGCCCATGGCAGATTACGGGCCTGGCAGCAGCAATGGGAGGCCCGTAATCTGCCAGCACCCTATGACAAAAAATGGAACACACCAGCAGTGTGAGGAGACCTGAAAGTGGCACATGGCAGAGTGTGGCGATGGAGACAGCAGCAATGGGAGGCCGTACAGGGACCCATGAGAGACTCTGGGACCTGGCAGCAGCATGAGGAGGCGGTACAGGGGCCCATGGCAGATTACGGGCCTGGCAGCAGCAATGGGAGGCCCGTAATCTGCCAGCACCCTATGACAAAAAATGGAACACACCAGCAGTGTGAGGAGACCTGAAAGTGGCACATGGCAGAGTGTGGCGATGGAGACAGCAGCAATGGGAGGCCGTACAGGGACCCATGAGAGACTCTGGGACCTGGCAGCAGCATGAGGGGCGGTACAGGGGCCCATGGCAGATTACGGGCCTGGCAGCAGCAATGGGAGGCCCGTAAATCTGCCAGCACCCTATGACAAAAAATGAACACACCCAGCAGTGTGAGGAGACCTGAAAGTGGCACATGGCAGAGTGTGGCGATGGAGACAGCAGCAATGGGAGGCCGTACAGGGACCCATGAGAGACTCTGGACCTGGCAGCAGCATGAGGAGGCGGTACAGGGGCCCATGGCAGATTACGGGCCTGGCAGCAGCAATGGGAGGCCCGTAATCTGCCAGCACCCTATGACAAAAAATGGAACACACCACCAGCAGTGTGAGGAGACCTGAAAGTGGCACATGGCAGAGTGTGGCGATGGAGACAGCAGCAATGGGAGGGAGGAGGCCGTACAGGGACCCATGAGAGACTCTGGACCTGGCAGCAGCATGAGGAGGCGGTACAGGGGCCCATGGCAGATTACGGGCCTGGCAGCAGCAATGGGAGGCCCGTAATCTGCCAGCACCCTATGACACCCTATGAAAATGGAACACCAGCAGTGTGTGTGGAGACCTGAAAGTGGCACATGGCAGAGTGTGGCGATGGAGACAGCAGCAATGGGAGGCCGTACAGGGACCCATGAGACACTGTGGACCTGGCAGCAGCATGAGGAGGCGGCGGTACAGGGGGCCCATGGCAGATTACGGGCCTGGCAGCAGCAATGGGAGGCCCGTAATCTGCCAGCACCCTATGACAAAAAATGGAACACACCAGCAGTGTGAGGAGACCTGAAAGTGGCACATGGCAGAGTGTGGCGATGGAGACAGCAGCAATGGGAGGCCGTACAGGGACCCATGAGACACTCTGGACCTGGCAGCAGCATGAGGAGGCGGTACAGGGGCCCATGGCAGATTACGGGCCTGGCAGCAGCAATGGGAGGCCCGTAATCTGCCAGCACCCTATGACAAAAAATGGAACACACCAGCAGTGTGAGGAGACCTGAAAGTGGCACATGGCAGAGTGTGGCGATGGAGACAGCAGCAATGGGACCGTACAGGGACCCATGAGAGACTCTGGACCTGGCAGCAGCATGAGGAGGCGGTACAGGGGCCCATGGCAGATTACGGGCCTGGCAGCAGCAATGGGAGGCCCGTAATCTGCCAGCACCCTATGACAAAAAATGGAACACACCAGCAGTGTGAGGAGACCTGAAAGTGGCACATGGCAGAGTGTGGCGATGGAGACAGCAGCAATGGGAGGCCGTACAGGGACCCATGAGACACTCTGGACCTGGCAGCAGCATGAGGAGGCGGTACAGGGGCCCATGGCAGATTACGGGCCTGGCAGCAGCAATGGGAGGCCCGTAATCTGCCAGCACCCTATGACAAAAAATGGAACACACCAGCAGTGTGAGGAGACCTGAAAGTGGCACATGGCAGAGTGTGGCGATGGAGACAGCAGCAATGGGAGGCCGTACAGGGACCCATGAGACACTCTGGACCTGGCAGCAGCATGAGGAGGCGGTACAGGGGCCCATGGCAGATTACGGGCCTGGCAGCAGCAATGGGAGGCCCGTAATCTGCCAGCACCCTATGACAAAAAATGGAACACACCAGCAGTGTGAGGAGACCTGAAAGTGGCACATGGCAGAGTGTGGCGATGGAGACAGCAGCAATGGGAGGCCGTACAGGGACCCATGAGAGACACTGGACCTGGCAGCAGCATGAGGAGGCGGTACAGGGGGCCCATGGCAGATTACGGGCCTGGCAGCAGCAATGGGAGGCCCGTAATCTGCCAGCACCCTATGACAAAAAAAAAATGGAACACACCAGCAGTGTGAGGAGACCTGAAAGTGGCACATGGCAGAGTGTGGCGATGGAGACAGCAGCAATGGGAGGCCGTACAGGGACCCATGAGACACTCTGGACCTGGCAGCAGCATGAGGAGGCGGTACAGGGGCCCATGGCAGATTACGGGCCTGGCAGCAGCAATGGGAGGCCCGTAATCTGCCAGCACCCTATGACAAAATGGAACACACCAGCAGTGTGAGGAGACCTGAAAGTGGCACATGGCAGAGTGTGGCGATGGAGACAGCAGCAATGGGAGGCCGTACAGGGACCCATGAGACACTCTGGACCTGGCAGCAGCATGAGGAGGCGGTACAGGGGCCCATGGCAGGGGCCCCATGGCAGATTACGGGCCTGGCAGCAGCAATGGGAGGCCCGTAATCTGCCAGCACCCTATGACAAAAAATGGAACACACCAGCAGTGTGAGGAGACCTGAAAGTGGCACATGGCAGAGTGTGGCGATGGAGACAGCAGCAATGGGAGGCCGTACAGGGACCCATGAGACACTCTGGACCTGGCAGCAGCATGAGGAGGCGGTACAGGGGCCCATGGCAGATTACGGGCCTGGCAGCAGCAATGGGGAGGCCCGTAATCTGCCAGCAGCAGCCCCGTAATGCCAGCACCCTATGAAAAATGGAACACACCAGCAGTGTGAGGAGACCTGAAAGTGGCACACATGGCAGAGTGTGGCGATGGAGACAGCAGCAATGGGAGGCCGTACAGGGACCCATGAGAGACTCTGGGACCTGGCAGCAGCATGAGGAGAGGGTACAGGGGCCCATGGCAGATTACGGGCCTGGCAGCAGCAATGGGAGGCCCGTAATCTGCCAGCACCCTATGACAAAAAATGGAACACACACAGCAGTGTGAGGAGACCTGAAAGTGGCACATGGCAGAGTGTGGCGATGGAGACAGCAGCAATGGGAGGCCGTACAGGGACCCATGAGACACTCTGGACCTGGCAGCAGCATGAGGAGGCGGTACAGGGGGCCCATGGCAGATTACGGGCCTGGCAGCAGCAATGGGAGGCCCGTAATCTGCCAGCACCCTATGACAAAAAATGGAACACACCAGCAGTGTGAGGAGACCTGAAAGTGGCACATGGCAGAGTGTGGCGATGGAGACAGCAGCAATGGGAGGCCGTACAGGGACCCATGAGAGACTCTGGACCTGGCAGCAGCGAGAGGAGGCGGTACAGGGGGCCCATGGCAGATTACGGGCCTGGCAGCAGCAATGGGAGGCCCGTAATCTGCCAGCACCCTATGACAAAAAATGGAACACACCAGCAGCAGTGTGAGGAGACCTGAAAGTGGCACATGGCAGAGTGTGGCGATGGAGACAGCAGCAATGGGAGGCCGTACAGGGACCCATGAGAGACTCTGGACCTGGCAGCAGCATGAGGAGGCGGTACAGGGGCCCATGGCAGATTACGGGCCTGGCAGCAGCAATGGGAGGCCCGTAATCTGCCAGCACCCTATGACAAAAAATGGAACACACACCAGCAGTGTGAGGAGACCTGAAAGTGGCACATGGCAGAGTGTGGCGATGGAGACAGCAGCAATGGGAGGCCGTACAGGGACCCATGAGAGACTCTGGACCTGGCAGCAGCATGAGGAGGCGGTACAGGGGCCCATGGCAGATTACGGGCCTGGCAGCAGCAATGGGAGGCCCTAATCTGCCAGCACCCTATGACAAAAAATGGAACACACCAGCAGTGTGAGGAGACCTGAAAGTGGCACATGGCAGAGTGTGGCGATGGAGACAGCAGCAATGGGAGGCCGTACAGGGACCCATGAGACACTCTGGACCTGGCAGCAGCATGAGGAGGCGGTACAGGGGCCCATGGCAGATTACGGGCCTGGCAGCAGCAATGGGAGGCCCGTAATCTGCCAGCACCCTATGACAAAAAATGGAACACACCCAGCAGTGTGAGGAGACCTGAAAGTGGCACATGTTTGGGGCATGATTCATGGCGGATTTAGTCAGTTGTGTCAGGAACTGGTGGTTTGAAATCCAGACTAATCCACGCCTGATTCATTTTCACAAACGTGAGTCTCTCCACACTTTGGGTGGACAGTCGTGTCCTCCGCGGAGTTACAATACCTCCTGCCGCACTAAACACGCGCTCCGATGCCACGCTACTGGCCGGGCATGACAGCCTCAAGGGCAAATTCAGCTAGTTGGGGCCAAAGGTCAAGTTTCGTTGCCCAGTAGTCAAGGGGATTGTCTACCTCGGTTGGCAGGGTGCTGTCCAAGTAGGCCCAAGCCTGTTGTTTGAGGTCCTGCTCCAGGTCCACCTGATGCTGCTGCTGCTGCTGCGGCTGGTTAGTAGTTTCCTCACTGCACTG